CAACATTTCTTGGTTTATTAAATTTTTAAATTTCTAAATAATATTAACTTGAAATATCCGGTTTATCTAAAACCGGATAATGTTATTATCCAGCGAGATAACGAATATCGAATAATACCATTATCCGGCCCGGATATCCGGCCGGATAGCTTATCCGGGACACCCCTTGTCTAGAAGTCACCGCTATATTGTAAAACAACGTTTTAAAATTATCTTGCGAGAACTGAACGACAAATTATTACGTCACCCGCAGATAATCGAAGTAAACCCGAGACTGGCCTTAAACAACCTGAGTTAGAAATGAACGAACAAAGTTCCGTTTTTTATGCAGTGGGATCATAGTTAATAGACTTTAAATGGTTTGGAAACTCCGTAAAAGTAATTGTTTAACTTATTGACACAAAAATAGAGCGTAAATCAAGCGTGACCGTGCACACAAACTTATTAACGTTGTATAACGCTTATAACAATATCTGATTTTGGCATGAAGTTCATTAAATAAACTCTTGAAAATAAAAGTAAAATTGTTAGTATAGATTCTAAACTATTTTTTAAAGATAGCATTTTTAGAGATAATAAAATGATTAATGTATTGCGGATTGTGAGCATGAAACAAACACGTTTTCTGTTTTATTAGAGTATAAATTAGAAATTCATTTAGTTAGTTTACTCATTAAGATTAATGAGCAAATTAAATAACTGAATACTGTTTTATAAACTCGTTGATAGTCTGGAGATGTACTTCAAGTCAGATTATATTTAAACAGGTGATTTACAAGTATTTATGAAGGAAAAAGTACTTATTTTAGTTCATTGTATTCTACAAATATAAAATGCTTTACTATTGAGTATTACTGCATAGTAACATAAGAGTTTGTTATATAACGCAAGGAAGTCATTATGATATGTTTTAATAGTTATTACATTCTATATATTATATGTAGTGATTGTTTGTAATTGATTTTTTGGTTATTAGATATTTATTCAGTGTTAATTTTAAAGCAAAATATGCCTGGAGATAATTGCAGTATAACAAACTGTGGTACTTCAAGACGAACCAAAGGTGTTGGAATATTTAAACTTCCTCATTCAAATTCTGCAGATCCTGCTCATCAAAAATGGCGATCTGAATGGTTAAATTCAATTACAAAAGGGCGTGTGATTGACCAACAATTTAAAATGCAAATCAATTCTGGGAAAGTCTTTGCTTGTGATTTTGAAATACGTATGTCACAAGTGTTTTTTTTTTTTAATTTATATATATATATATATATATATATATATATATATATCTATATATATCTATATATATATATATATATATATATATATATATATATATATATATATATAGCATATATATATATATATATATGCTACAGCATGGGGCTCACAGTGGCTGGTGAACTTTAATTCAGATAAAACTCAATTTTATTCGGCCAATCGTTATCGTAATAATTTAGATCTTCCTATATTTATGAATGGTAATGTACTAGATGAGTCATCTACCATTCATCTTCTAGGATTAACTCTTACTTCTGATCTTTCTTTTAAACCGTATATCAAATCCATTGCAAAATTAGCATCTGCTAAGGTTGCATCTCTTTATCGAGCTCGACACTTTCTTACTCCAGATTCTATTCTCTATCTCTATAAATCTCAAATCCGTCCCGTCTATAAATCTCAAATCCCAACCGTATGGAATACTGTTGCCACATCTGGGGCGGATCTTCTAGTGATGCTCTTTCTCTTTTAGACAAGGTGCAAAAACGAATTGTAAACATAGTTGGACTTGCTCTGGCAGCCAATCTCCAACCTTTGTCACATCGTCGTAATGTTGCTTCTCTTTCTCTTTTCTACAAATACTATAATGGGCACTGCTCTAAAGAGCTAGCGTCCCTTGTGCCATCTACTAAAATTCATTCTCGTGTTACTCGCCATTCAATTAAGTCTCATCCTTTTTCTGTGACTGTTCCTAATGCTTCAAAAACTCTTATTCTTCTAGTTTTTTTCCTCGAACATCAGTTCTTTGAAATTCGCTTCCTTCATCTTGCTTTCCTGATTCATATAATTTGCAATCTTTTAAGTCATCAGTCAATCGTTATCTTGCTCTACAGATTTAGTCTTTTCTCTTCCAGTAACTTCCAACTCTTATAGTGGTTGCTTGCAGCCTTGTTGGAAGTGAAGATGTTTAAAAAAAAAAAAATATATATATATATATATATATATATATATATATATATATATATATATATATATATATATATATATATATATATATATATATATATATATATATATAGTATGATATATTTATTAACTATTTTTTTTAAGACATTGGTGCAAAAATGACAAAAAAGATAATGAAAAATGGAGTTATCCCAAGTCTATTTCTTCCCATAAAAAGTTGTATCACTACTTTACCAAAAAAAAGAATGCCAAGGAAATCTATTGAACCTACAACTAAAATATCAACCAAATGCTATGTTAAACTTAAAGACATAGAATTTCAAATACGAAATTTAAAACTTTTGAATGGTTGGATAACAGATGTAAAAGAAAATGAAATAAGTGTTTTAAAAAGAAGTTCAAATCAGCTTGTTCTTCCAGAATTTGAAATAATCATAGATGATAGTTTAGGATATAGTTTGTCTGTATATGGATGGATGCTTCCTGAAAGTCATACCATTTACAAAATTTACAAAAGAAGTATGCAAAATATATCATTAAAAAATTTAATTACTTTACTTGAAAGTAATCAGTTATGTGAAGGTGTACCAATTCATGAAAAGACATCAAGTACCATTCACCATTGTATACCTTTTAAAAACAATCCACATTATTGGGATACAGAAACATCTCCATTCCAATGTATGTCATATTACAGAAATATTAACTGTGACATTTTACTTAAAGACTCAAGCAGATGTAAAAAATGTATATTTACAAACAAATCAGTTATTTATTTAAAAAAGAAAAAAAAAAAGAGACACAATGAGCCAGCCAAACTAAATGTCCCTATCTCTTTGACCTCACCATCAAGACTTAAATTAACAATTCAACAGCATCGTCTGAAATGTGCACAATTGCAAGCTAGGATCAAAACAATGCAAGAAGAGCTTATTAGCTCAAGTGTGATGATGGACAGTGAATTACATAATGATTTTCTTTCAATTATCTCTGATGCTAAACATGATATTAGTGACTTTATGAATTTGTTTTGGCAAGAACAAAAAAAGTTGTTTAGAGTTTCCTCATCAGGAGTTAGGTATCACCCAATGATAATAAGGTACTGTTTATCCATTGCATCAAAATCACCTTCTGCATACCAAGAAATTAGAAATAGCAAAATACTTGTGTTGCCAAGCCTGAGAACACTCAGAGATTATAAAAATTATATTCCACCGAAAGTTGGGTATCAGGATAGCATTGTTGAGGAATTAAGTAGACAAACTAAACATTATACAAATATTGAAAGATATGTTGTGCTTCTTATTGATGAGATGTCAATTAAATCTAATCTGGTTTTTGATAAGAATAGTAATCAGCTGATTGGGTTTGTTGATTTGGGAAACCCAGACTTAAACTTTGCTACACTACAAAAATGTGAACTTGCCTCTCATGCCCTTGTTTTCATGGTTCGTGGTATTGCAACATCTCTTAAGTTTTCGCTTGCATATTTTACAACCATCACTGCCACAGCAGTACAGTTATTTAGTTTATTATGGGATTCAGTATGCATTTTAGAGAAGAGATGTAATCTTCATCTAGTTTCTGTTGTAGCCGATGGCGCATCATCGAATAGAACAATGATTAAACTACACTGTTACATGTGTGGAGATATGATTACTCCTGTCATTTTTAAAACAATAAATTTATATGCCAAATCTAGATACATCTATTTTGTTGCTGACCCACCACACTTGATTAAAACTTCCCGAAACTGTTTGTTAAATTCTGGTGCCGGAAAATGTACGCGCTACTTATGGAATGACGGGAAGTATTTATTGTGGCAGCACATAACTCAATTGTATTATGAAGATTTAGACAATGGTTTAAAACTTTTACCTAAATTAACTAATGAGCATATTCAAATAAATTCTTACTCTGCTATGACTGTCAAACTAGCTGCTCAAATTTTAAGTCAAACTGTATCATCTGTCTTGAAAACATTTGGAACAGAAGAACATACAGAGACAGCTCGGTTTTGTGAAAAAATGGACATGTTTTTTGACTGTCTTAATTCTAGAACAATTGAAGAACATAGAATGAAACCTTTCCTTAAAAAATACACTGACCAAAAGGATCCTCGGTTTAATTTCCTTTTAAATGATTTTTTGGAATATTTTAAAAATTGGAAAAAATCTATTGATGAAAGAATAGACAAAGCAGGTTGTCAATACTCTTATGAGGCTAAAGCGAAAATGTTTATTTCGCATCAGACATATGAAGGCTTAATGATGACATGTAATTCAATAGTAGAAGTTATAAAGTTTCTGCTAAGTGAGGGTATGCCTTATATTCTTACAAGTAGATTTTGCCAAGATCCAATTGAGGAATATTTTAGTGCTTAAAGGAAAATTGGGCGCTATTCAGATAACCCTGACGCAAAACAGTTTGGCTATAATGCTAATGCAATACGCATTCAAAAAAGTGTTTCGCTTAATACTGGAAATACTAGAGGCTCATATGACAACAAAAAAGCTTGGATAAATATCTCTGAAGATTTAATTCCAAAAAAAAAACAAAAAAAAACATGATTTTATAACTAGTCTTCATATTCAAAACTTGTAAACAAAACTAAAGTGTATATATATATATATATATATATATATATATATATATATATATATATATATATATAATATATATATATATATATATATAATATATATATATATATATATATATAAATATATATATATATATATATATATATATATATATATATATATATATATATATATATATATATATATATATATAAAATTATACAACAATAAAAAGATAAAAGGAATATAAATGAGCAAATAACACAAGTCTTTTCTTTGACTGCAAATATATAAAGTCGATTTTTACTTTTGTAAAATAAACTTTTTTAGAATAGAAAAAACGAAAAACATTTATGTTTTTTTTAGGTTTTCTTTTAGTCTATATGATTGTTTCATGTTTTTGCGTAATCCTTTCTTTGATTGTTCTCCTGTTTTTGTTTTTTTTGCTTTATGCTTATTAACAATGTCCTTAGCAAACGAATGACATCGAACTTGAAAATATAAAGCTAGCATTAAAGGCAATGTAGATTTTTGACTATCTTTTTCAATTTTCAAATCACATTTTTCAATAATAATCCTGTAATATTCATCCAAATCTTTATCACAGAGTGTTTTTTTAATTAAAAAATCTATGTCTATATTTTTAGTAAGCTTGGACTGTTCTGTATATAAAAGAAATATTTTTTCTGCTATAAATAAAATATGTTCAAACTCAATTGTAATGGCAGTAAGTCCACCACGATTAAGAGTGTTGACAAGCTTTTGGTCAGTTATATTTTTTGTTTCATTTCGACAGCTTTTTAATATAGACACTGTTTGTTGTAGTTGAGCATTATTAGTTCGAGAATTTTGAATTTTTTTTTAAATTTTATGAATAACATAACCTCCAAGATATTGCAATGCATACTTTTGCTTATCACATATTATAGGTGTAATTAATGTCTGATTGTTATTAACAATGGATATATTTTTTTTATAATAAGCTGATATACTATCTGCAAGTTTACTTAATACTAATGTAGCAGCATCTTCATAATCATCACCACAATTTAAAATTTTCTTACTATGGATTACTACGTTTCCAAAATAACTTGCATAAAACTCGTTTAAACTTTTAGAACAAATTTTAGTGCAGCTTTCAATTATTCTATTAAACTGAATCTCATCTTTTACTAAATTAATCTGAAGAGTTTTAACTTGCTCAATATTTTGTTTGCCATAAAAGGAGCTTTCCATAATCTTGCAAAACACATTTTGTATTAATGAAAACAAAATATCGATGTTAAAGTTTAATTCTGAACTGTTAGCATTCCCAGTAGCTATATCGTTGTTAGGGTGTTTTTTAGAATTGTGCAATTTCAGCCCTCCTTTACTTTTACAAACTTTGACACAAACATCACATTGGTACATTCCAGGGTTAAGCTAAAAACAATTTTAAAAAACTGTATGAAAGATACAATATTCATTTATCTTATTCAAATTAAATTAATTATCCAATCAAACTAATACATTAAATACAATACAATAAATAAACAAAATTTTAACTCAAAGTAAAAAACGTTAAACTCATGTATGTTAGGTAAGTAAGTTGTTTATACTGTATAAGCATATACAAGTATTTAAGGTTTTTATGAGTTACACAAACAAAACTTTACAATCTTGAAAGTACTCACATCTTCTAAAATAGTTTCAGTATAATTTTCAAGTTCGTGATCTTTTTCAAAGATTTCCAAAAGCATTATAAATTCATTATCACATATATTATCACAGTTTCCTCCTTCAACAGCCATTGTATATTTATATGTTGTGCACGGTCAATGTCACGTGATTGCATTTTCAACTTAATATTGTTTTTGTTGCGCTAAATTCCGTGTTTCCAAACCAGTTTAAGTCTATTAACTATGGTGGGATGAAATAAATCAAGTGGATAGAATAATCTACTATAGTTGTAAATTATTCCATCCTAATGTGTAAAACATCAAATTAAAACTGATTTTATAACTTATTTTTTTTATTTTCATGTTTATTTTGTAAAGATAATAGTCATTTAAAAGTCGTTTACAAATTTTTCATTCGCATGAGTCAAATAAATTTGATTAATACACTGTCATATGTAATAAATCAAGCGGATGGAATAATCTACTATAGTTGTAGATTATTCTATCCCAATGTGTAAAACATCAAATTAAAACTAATCTACAACTCTTTTTTGTTTTCATGTTTATGTCGTAAAGATAATGGTCATTTAAAAGTTGTTAACAAATTTTTATCATACGAGTAGATCAGACGAATGGAATAATCTACTATAGTAGTAGATTATTCCATAATCTACTACTAATCTACTATAGTAGTAGATTATTCCATCCTAATGAGTAAAACATCAAATTAAAACTAATTTTACAACTTACTATTTTTATTTTCATGTTTTTTTTGTAAAGATAATAGTCATTTATAATTCGGATACAAATTTTTTATTCATTATTTATATAACAATTTTTATTTATATACTGATTTAATTACACATCAATTTGAATTATATATCAAAAGCGTGGATGAAGAAAAATACTATTGGCCAAATATGAGCGAAGATATTGTAAAATAGGTATTTAATTTTTTAGTAATAAGTTTTATTTTAAGTTTCATGAACTAGTTTGTAATAACAATAAACAAATTATAAGACTGATTGAATGAATACAGTTTATTTTATTTTAAGATAAAGCAATGCAAGCAATGTCAACAATCGGGAACGCTTTTATCATAGGTAGAACCATAACGTTCAATAAAGGTAAAATAAGGAAATTTTTTTTATCTACTTATGATTGATGTTTTTTAACGTTAGAAAAAAACAAAAAAATAAAGAAAAATAAAGAAAAATTTTAAGGATGCATTTTATTCCACACCTTTTAAATTTTTTAGTTCAAATTTTAAAAACTATAATGGAGTAAAGTTTGCACTATAAGATACTAACAAGTGCACCAAACGATGTTGTTCAACACAACTAAAAAAAAAAAAAAAAGAAGTTGGAGTTTTACATTGTGTACCTAAATGTACACTGTTGTGGCTGGATAGCTCAGTTGGTTAGAGCGTCAACTATTGTACGATACGAGTTTAAATCCTGCCACTGCCAACTCAGCGCTTGATCAGTACTTCGGTACGCAAAAATGTTGGTCTATAACGAACGTTACTTTGGATTAGTCTTAATGACTATTTGTGGCTGTTACTATGCTAAGCCAACAATATCTTCGGATATAAGAAAATTGTATAAAAAAATATAGCATGAAAGTTCAAATAAATAAAAAATAGACAAAAAATAAATGGTTTAGCAACTAAGTAAAACATAAAAATTTATTATTTTATATATTTTGCAACAAAGAAAATATTTAAGCAAAAATAAAATATTAAATTCTGATAATAATTAATACATTCTTTTACACCCTTTCAAATATTTTTTTAAATGTCTTTAAACAAGGCAAGGTCTTATTGAACTAGTTTTCATGTTCAAATTTAATTAGTTACACAAAAAAGACTTCGTTTGTATATAGAACAAAGTCTGTTTCGCTTGTTTCTGTAATAGCTTTGATCCCTTGACATTGATAAAATTAACTATGTTTGATTTTTAGTTTTTGCTGAACATCTACTACTTCCATACAAAAAGTTTTATTGGTATAAGCTTCTTGTACAGTAAGATTTCTTTTTGAAAAAAAAATTTTACTGTACAAAAAAAAAAAATCTTAATTAATACTACACACACACTACACAACCCATCAGGGCGACAACCTAGCCATGCCATTTAGGGTTTATAACAAGGTCACATTTTTTTGTATCACAACTAATTTTTTCTTTAAACATTTTAGAAGCAATATATCATTTTCAATACTCCACTGACAAGCTTGTGAATGTAAACCAATATCACAGTTTCTTACATGTTTTTTTAACAATAAAGTTGGAGGAGTATTTATTCTACGGTTAATAACTGTACCAAAATTCAATGCAGTGAGTTTTTTATTTTGTTCTTTGAACTATTTTGTTTTTTTATTGATCTTTTTAGCTTCTGATTTAATTTGAATTGGCAAGTGATTTGTTACAAAACTATAATTTTCCTTATTCGAATTAGTTTCAATTAAATAGTCCAGACCAGGAGCGTAGGAAGGTTTTAAAATGTTTGAAATAACTAACTTTCAAACAAAAAGAATATTCCAAATTTTTTTACTTTCATATGTATGACGAAAAGATTATTCACAAAAAAAATTAATGTGATAGGTGAATAGAAAACTTGTTGATCTCACGTTTGGGGCAGGGGGCTAAGATTTTAGGGTTTCTTGTTCCCATTCTCCTATCAAAGTAATTTTCTTTTGTAAAAAATCTTTTCGTCATACATATAAAAGTAAAAAAATTTGGAATATTCTTTTTGTTTAAAAGTTGGTTATTTAAAACATTTAAAAACCTTCCTACGCCACTGGTCCAGACAATGTAGAAATTTTTCCATTAGAACCAAGTTTAATTTTATAAAGATTTTTTATTTTCTCGTTAGATGTTTCATAAATAAGATTTTAGTCAAATTTATTTCCAATAATTAGCAAAGCTATTGTCACTATTACATTCCTCATTTGTAATTAGACAAAATTTTGCATCTAGTGGAACCTTGCTAAAGCTTTTAAAAAAGCTAGAACCAGCAGGAATATTTATAGAATTAGTTATATATTCTTTTACTTATGTATACTTGTAAAATATACTTTAAATATACATAGCTTTTCTAACGAAATTCAACTAAAACTACGTTGGAGAAGATGGAGTACAGTGGATAGAGGGGTACAATGAATAAGAGGGATTTTCTCAAAGATTCAAATTTTGTTCATCTTGATAATGTAATCATTTTATGTGCTCATATATCAGTCATCTTTATTTATAGTTGTTACCACATGATTTTTGACTACCGGTAGGTAATTTGTGTTTTTAGTTAACTAAAGTAAATTTTCTTACCTTCCTCGTATTTGTTATAGAGATCATGGTTGAAATAGTTTTAAAAGTTTTTCATTCGAATTATAGATATTTATGCTTTCTTTTTGTAGTTTAGCTTTTCTTTTAACAACACTCATGGCCCAAGAAATTAAATTTAAACTCAGTTTAATATGGTGGGGCTCAGTAAATAGGTTGATACACTATGCTCCATTAATGATCTTAAGTATTAAATTCATACATTTTTAACAAACAAACTACATGAAATTGAACTTATTAGTTTTAAGTTATGAATAATTTTTGAATAATTTTTGAATTTTTTGATATTTTTATAAGTTTTGTTATCAATAAAACGCTTTTTTTTTCTTCTCATTTTTCAAAAAGTCTATTTTTTTCAATTTTATACTAATCTAATTAATAAAAGTATGCCAAAACTATAGTGTCTTTACTTCCTCAGCCGAGTATTACCAAAAATATCCAAACATTTATGTAAATCTCTTTGATTTGATTATGTTAAATGTATGTAAAGAGCCATGCATCATAAATATTTTGCTATTTTTCGCAATAAAAAAAGTTATAACAAAACATTGGTCTTCGATTAATGGTCAGTGGATGAAAAATACTGAACTTGTAAAAAAGTTGTCTTGTCCATTAAAAATATTTCTTACTATTTATCAAAATATAATTTTTTAAAATTTTTTTATATTATATAATTACATGTTTATTACTTTATTTATGCATGTTATATATAAATATAGCTATAGTAAAAAAAAACTACAAAAATAATTTAAAAAACAAAAAAATCAATTTTGTCCAGCTGTGCTTCGGTCACAACTGTTTTTTATATTTCCTTATAAATAATTAAGAGTAAAAACGGAAGAGTTTTGCTTCCTAATATTTAAAAATCTTTTTGCGTTGGGAAAGATGGTTTCATTTTTATAATAAATGTGTACATACGCAGAGGATGAGGGAATTAAAGCATAGTGGGACGTGCAAGGGAAAAGAAGGGTCCTAAATAAGTGGTTTTACTGCGTGCTTAATTTATGGATGCCTCCTAACACACTTTACTGATTAGTACTATATTTAATATCTTTCAGCAGTTGATTTGTAAGAATTTATTTTAAAAAGACAAAGAGATCATATCATACACATGCTAAATATTTCTTAAATCATTAAATTATGCTAAATATTTTTTAAATCATTTTGAAACGTGCGAGCTTTAAAATTTGAAAGCAAATAAATTGTTAATAGAGTTTATACTATTTATAGTTAGACGAGTATAAAAAACTAAGATCTTAAACTTTATGTCTTTAATATTTATATATATTTTAATTGTTATAATTAGGTGGATATTAAACAAATGTAGATAATTAAATTGAATAATTCTTATAAAAAACAACATTAAAAGATTTTTACATTTTCGATTTTTTCGACAGAAATTGCATAACCGCATTCATACACTCATCTGAAAGCCATCTTTCCTCCAAACGAACGCATTCTTCGTCATTAACTTTTAAAAGTGTTTCTTTTTCTCGATTTCGATTAAGAGCTTTAGAATAGAGAATCGACTGAAGCGAGAAACATTAAAACATTAAATAATAAGACAAACGCTAAAAAGAAATTTCATAAAAGAAATTTTCAAAACAAACCTTGTTTGGTAACGTGGCTAGATGTTTTATTTTTTCTTGTACAGTTTTATCGAATTCTGCGCGTGGGATGACTTCAGATATAAGACCTCTATCGAAAGCTTCGCGTGCAGTTAATTTTTTTCCAGCAAGTAGCATCTCATTTGCCTTTAAAAGAGAAAGTGTTTTCAAATTGAAGATAAAAAAAATTACGAGTATTACTGAGCATATTAAAGTTCGTACCTTAGCATAACCCATAATTTTTGGAAATGTATGCGAGGAACAACCTTCAGGTGACTGACCCAGAGTAGTAAACGGAGTTTGAAATGTAGCATTCTCGACTGCATAAACCAGATCAGCAAGTCCCAATAATGTAACAGAAATACCGACAGCTGGTCCGTTAACAGAACATACAAGAAGCTTCGGAAAATTTATAAAACTTTCAACAAACCCTCTAAAGAAATTTTAATTAAGATAAATGTACAATTACAAAAAAGAATACAACTTCATGATTTGCATGTTGTAACATGCGCAAGTTACTAACAGTATCAGCATAGCAAGTATAGACAGCAAGTAAACTTTCCAATTTATTTAACTTTTTTAAATTTTAGGTTGTTTTTTTTTTTTGCACTTGTTTCTTTTGTTTATTCTTGGTTTAATATTTTAAAAGGAATTTCAAAAAAGTGTTTGGCGGAAAAAGAAGTTTTCGACATTTTTTCGTATAATAAAAAAAAGTAAAAAAATCAGAACCTTGAAATCTTTCTTCAGCAATCTTGAAGTTAAATTTTCAACAAGAGTGAAAAAACTTAAAGACATGATATATAGAGTATAAAGGATAACCAAAAAGAGCTTATCAGTATATTAACATTTTCAATGTTAATATACAATTTGTTATAGCTGAAGCACTGTCCTAGGAAGGTCAAGGCAGTTGGGGGAGGAAGGTTAAAACAACCAAGGGTGGGGATATAAAGGAGAGAAGGAGCTTCTCAAAACCTCCTATTGCCAAGCAAAGGTCTGGAAGAGCGCTGTAAGCACAGCGAGGTTTTGGGAAATTTACTGCCAATCTATTTTCTGCATTTTAAGAAATAATAATGAACATTCCTGGCATATAAAATCGGTAAGGGTTAAAACATCCATCTTTGTTTAATAAATAGTGTTTATTTATGACCACTAAATGTTGAATGTCCAAAATATTATTGAAAATGCCAATAATAGAATAGTAATAATCTCAGTGTAGTATTTAGTATGTTATATGTATGTATGTATGTATGTATGTATGTATGTATGTATGTATGTATGTATGTATGTATGTATGTATGTATATATATATATATATATATATATGTGTGTGTATGTATGTATGTATGTATGTATGTATGTATGTATGTATGTATGTATGTATGTATGTATGTATGTATGTATGTATGTATGTATGTATGTATGTATGTATGCATGTATGTATGTATGTATGTATGTATGTATGTATATTAGAGCATTTTACAAACATTTGATTTTTTACATATTTTTTGTTTATATATCTCTCACATTAGGAGTTATAGGATTGAGAGTAGAGAGAAAAAAAGAGACTACCCTACTCCGTTTTAATTGAGAAAAGAGAAAGAAAGAAAAAGTACCCTACCCTATTGTAGTTGATAAAGCTGTAGTTGAGAGAAGAGAGAGAAAAAAAAACTACCCTATTCCCCTACTAGCTGACAAGTCAACTTTAAAAAAAGTCAACTACACCTGTAGACACCATTTTTAAAATACAATTAAAATTCCATAGTTGTTTTTGATGCGTTTAAGTATCAAAAACAACTATGGAATACACCAGGAATTGAAAAAGTGGAAAAGAAAAAAACCTTTACTACAAATATCTTGCAGCTGGTAGATGAACTCACATAGAGATTTGAGAAGAGCATAAGGCAGCCTGCAAGAAGCTAGTTATGGTTGTAAGCTCAGTAGTTGTTAAGTATGAAAATTAAATTGGAAACTGTTTTAAAATCAATCAAAAATGTCGTCATAACGAAGTCAAACAAAAGCTAATAGGGAATCAAACAGTGAATTTACTGAAGACAACAATAAAAAACTTACAATAGACAGTCATAAAATTTCTCATTTGTTTATTATATATTTCCAATCTGTATTTGTTGTTGAACCCTTACATCAGATGCCAACCTTTGAGAACCAAACAGAAATGGAATGTATCCTGAGTGAAGCAGAAATAACAACTAAATCTGTTCAGCAAAAGCTAGAAGAACTTATTGAGACAAAGACAAAAGGCTATGATAACATACATCCACGTGTTCTTCAAAACTGTACCACTATGTTAGCCAGGTCTAGCTATGATTTTCAAAAAATCACTGGCTAACCCTAGCTATGATTTTAAAAAAATCACTGGCTGTCCCTAACCTATGGAAGCTATCAAACAAGACTCCTATACTTAAAAATGAAAGCTGAAGGAAGTGCCCAAACTACAGGCCTGTTTCTCTCACATCAGTACCCTGTAAGATAGTTTTATCCACAAGAGAATTATGAAATATTGCCTTGAAAATAAGCTCTTCACAAAATCTCAACATGGATTTAACTAATCTACTAGAGGGCATCTTAACTAATCTACTTGGCATCTTAACAGAAGCACAATTTCAAAAATATGCCATAGACCTTCTAGAAAACATGGTGCATCATATAAAGACCTATGCTGATGACAAAAAGATCTTAAGGGTTATCAAAACAGAAGATGATGCAATAAAACTAAAATAGAGATCATGCAGTTGAATGGTTTAAGAGGTTGCTCATGTTCAACCTCGACAAATGTAAAATTGTGCATACTGGTCACTGGTCAACAATCGAATAGAACTTGGAACATCAATTATTGAACCTGACTTTTAGGTGTCCTAACATCAAACGACCTTAAGGTTAAGCATCAAGTAGAAGCTGCAGCAGCCAGATCAAATCAAGCACTTGGCAGACTAAAAAAAATCATTTCATACTTGAGGGATAAAGCTATGGAGGGTATTCTACACAATATACATTAGACCTCATCTTGAGTATGCGATCCAACCCTAGTCTCCTCACCTAAAAAGTGACCAAAAAACACTTGAACACATTCAACAGCAGGCAACCAAAACGATAAGCAAGATAAAGCATAAAAATTATGAGGATAGACTGGCCATACTCAATCTTACGACTCTATAAAAGTGACAAAAAAAGGGGCCACCTGATTCAGCAGAGTAAAATTACAAGCAGAATAGAAAAAATCAAATTTGCAGTTCTGCAAGTATATTACTATTAGAGTATAATCAGCGTGGAGAAAATCAACAACTAACACAGCAAATTGTGAAACCAAATTTAGAACAATTTTTTTACTAATCGAGTTGTTAACAACTGGAATGGGCTACCAGTGAATGTAGTCGATGCAAACTCAAAAAATAATTCTAAAGGTCAATTTGATGTGCATTCAAAGCTAACCAGGACACATTGTGTGTCTTGAATTATGTCATCATAGTGCTGCACCACTATATCAGAGTTTACTGCTAAAACCTTTTTCTTATATGATGGCTGTGCTTGTTAAATTTTAATTTATAAAACAAATTATAACATAAAAAATTATTATATAAAAAAATATAATAAAACGAATTCAAATTCAAAATTTTTTGTTGTGATAGCTTATTTACTAAAGTTATAGCTAGTTGTTTCTAGTCAGAGACTACCATTTTTTTAAAATTATCTTTATAACATAACAGTAAATTAGTCATATTATAGGGCACCATTATGCAAGTAGTATTTAATGAGGTCATTTCCAGTGACCAATAATACAGATAAAAAACTGTTGAGATAATATATTGGTTAATTTATAATAAAATAACATTGGTAAACAAAGATTCTAAAAAGACTGATGACCATTATATGAAGTTTTTCTTGGTGTATTTTAATTATTTTTTTAATACTTCTTAGTTGAAACGTTTTGTATATTTATACTTTAGACTTTATTCTTAGTTTCTACGAAGGACATTGCAGTGCTTATACCTCTTATAAATAAAAAGAAAGGTTATTTAAATTACTTATGAAAAAATTATTAAAACTTGACAAATAATCAGTAAATGAGAGTTTTTTCAATAGTGACTCTCATGTTCAAACCCCAATTAATTTATAGACAACATAAATGATTTTAAACCCAAAGTTTAAAAATAACAAACAACAAATTCATACATTACCACATTTATTATTATTCAATATTACCACATTTATTATTCAAAAAACTCACTTTAGTAACTTGCGACTGTCAGATGCTAGTTTTTTGGCACCACCATCTGGAATGTTTGCAAAATTAGAAAGATCATTGCCACTACAGTAATAATCTCCCTCTCCTGTGATCACCACCAAGTTAATTGAAGGATCCTTGGCTGCTTCATTTAGTGTATCAGTTACAATGTTGTACATCTGTTTGAGTAAATAGAAAAATACAAAGAACACACATTTAAAGCAATAAAATTTACTAGCTAGGTTAGTTGATTAAATAAAGCAAAACATGAAATACATACCAATTCAATGCAGTATTTTCAAGAAAAAATTATTCAATATCACTTTAAAGTCATGTTACCTCAATAGTTAAAGCATTATATTTTTTGGGTCTATTAAACTTAATAGTGCAAATGCCCATTTCTTTTGTAATAATTATACTATCTGAAGTAGGTTCTTTCTTTGTAGTAGAGTTTTCAGTATGTTCATTTGCAAGATTAGCATTAACAGGACCTAAAAAATGTTAACATTAATAGAGATAAAATGGAAACAAATTTTACCTATATGTTTCAACTTTTCGAAAAAAAAAAATACAAAGACACTTTAATTTTTACTTTTTCAAGACTTTTTGTAGAAATTTAATTACCAAAGTTTATTAAAGTTATTAAAATTAACAAAGTTTAAACTTTGATTAAAAAGTTTAAATTTGTTTAAGTTTCTACAATTCTAAATTAAAAGAAAAATAATATAAATAAAATAACATAGCACTCAAAAAATAAAATAACAATACTAAAAAAAAACCTTTAAAACATAGTAGACGTTTAAGAAATAACAAGGCAATAAAGAATTTAAAAATTTTATTTTATTTTTCATTTTATTATTTAATAACATAATAATAATAATAATAATAATAACAATAATAATAATAATTTAATAACATTGTTAGTGTTAAGATTACTTTTCAAGCTAGTGACAACTTTACCATCTCTAGAGAATATTGCAGAAAGTGCTGGAAAGCAAGAAACTTTTCAGAAATCAAAAATAATTTTGTGTATGTACTCTTGCGTGCTTAATACAAGGGAGAGTAGGAATAAAAGAAGTGAGGTGGGTGTATGGGAATTTTAGTCCAGATTTAATAAACAGGGGAGTCTTAATTAAAGGGTAGGAATTTTTCCTTAAATACATTTAAATTTAAATTTATCGCCTTCCTAAAGTCATGCATAAGAACACAATTAATTTAAAAAATAAAACAATTAAATTCTAGTGTGGCTTGTTATCAAATCAATATTTTTTAATGTTTTATTATAATTTCAATAGGATTTAATATGCTTATATAAGTTTTATACTATGGTGAGAAAAAAAAATATTTTTGACAAACCAAGATTTACGAGATTTTTTAAAGGTCTACAATTTTTAAAGCCTGATTACACTTAATGTTTTTATTTTATCAGTGGCTGATATATATTTTCTAGTTTTTAAGGCTGGTCTACACTGAATTTTTTTTTATTAATTTTGAGATAGAGTTTTTTGTTGATAACAAGTAAAAATTAACAAAAAACGGGGGGTGGGGGTTAGATATTAGCTTGGGTGGATGGGAAAATTTTTAAAAATTAATAAATGTCTCCTTCCATGTAATAAGTATGCAAAAGTAGTTGATATATCTTCTACCACTGTAATACAACAATAATGGGGGTGGGGAGGGGGGGAGTGGATGTAAGCTTGGGTGGATGGGAAAATTTTCTAAAAATTATTAAATGTCTCTTCCCATGTATTAAGTATGCAAGAGTAGTTGATGTATCTTCCACCACTGTAATACAACAACATTTTTTTTATGTAAATATTTGGAGAAAAATTCCAGTCCTGTTTAATAGCAATTCCAGCCAAGATTATTTTAGTGGATTTGCAGTGGATCTATACATGCATTTTTTAGCAGTTTATTGAAATTATGCACATTGGTTACTAAGTGAACCACATTATGCACATTGGTGAAGAAGTGAATAGTGGCTAGTCATTGCCTAGCCGCTTTTGGCGGCTGCCACTAATGGTCCACTAAGTAACGGCTTAGCAAAACTACAGAAGTCTGCTCAAAATGTCTATATAAGTCCACTGAAATTTTGCTATAGAATGTTTATTGGGATTGTTTTCTTAGATTTCAATTTTTGATTAGTATAAAATAAGTCTTGATAACAATAGCTGACTTTATCTAAATCTTTATTTTCGGAGTAATCCAAATTTATTTATTTATTTTTTATGTATTTATTTCATCATTAAAAAAAAGAGAATACAATGCCGTTATTAATAAAATCTACATAACCCCACAGTGGGCCAAACAGCTGTTTTCATAGACATTATTTTTGAAAGTGCTATGGGGTTGATTAAAGACTTTTTGGAAAGGGGTTTATGTGTAAATTTTGGAAAAACTAAAAAATAATTTTGCTGCAAAATATTTAGGTCATAATTTAAAAGAATTGATTATTAAAGTTAATAATCTTAATAATCATTAAAATTAATAAACTAAAAATCAAACAACAAGAACTTACAAGTGACTGAACATAAATGTACTTAAATACATAGTGAGTTACAACATAAATGTACATATATACATAGTGAGTTACAACATAAATGTACATATATACATAGTGAGTTACAACATAAATGTACATATATACATAGTGAGTTACAAATTAATTAACATGGCAGCATAGGTTCAAGCAAAACAAAAACATACATTTATATAAAGCGATTTACAATTGAACCAGTAGTGTGCCAGAGGTCCATACAGAACACTAACATACAAATATATGAAAAATCCCACTAATTAAACATCATCAGCGGTGTTGTGAAGCAGTTCCGCTTCCTTTTCAACCTTTTAGTTTAACCATAAAAGTTTGCTTTCAAATAATTTGATGCAAAAACTCGCTTTTAGTTTGCAAAATACAAAATAAAATTATAATTTGCTTAGAATGTAATATGCCCCTTATATATCGATTTATAATATATATTATAGTATATAAAACAGATGGAATTAAGTAAAATATAAAGTTATTAAATGTATATTTAGTCTGCAGTTTGGATACTAATCATTATAGACCGCTAAATCAGGGGTCTGGCACATTACTGAATTTTTTTAAACATTTTAAAGACACTGCTTAAAAAAAAGTATTTTACTTTACTTATATTGTAACTCAATGATTTAATTATTTCTTTTTTTTATTTTACTTTTTTATTTATTATATAAACTAACATTAGTTTTATTAGAATCTTGTTGAAATAAATCATAAATACATAAATATAGAATTATATTATACTCTTTAATAATTTAAAGAATGTTTGTTTCCTTATTAAACAATCATTAATACTAAGTGGTTACTTTATATAAAAGAGTGTCATTTAATTAAAAAAAATATATATAAAAGAAAAAAGTTTAGAAATTATTAATTCTAAACATAACTTAAATCTTTTTATTTGTTTTTTTTTTTGTTAAGAACTCATTTCACTTTTTTAGTAAACTTTTTTAGCAACTGTCTCCAGTCAGTCAAGTTTTTTTTGCGCCCTTTTGAAATGTTCTCAAAACATCTAAAAAGATGTGGGCAAGTTGTTGCAACTAAATATTATATGCATGGTCAGATATAGAGTGCAATTACATCCAGCTGTTATTATGATATTTTTTAGACTTTCTCTTTAACTATTTTTCTAGGTCTTTTACATGGTTCCTTAATTTTGATTTTGAAATAAAAATAAGGAAGGTAAACTACAAGTTATCTTCCACATGACACTTTAATCATAAGTTTTACTGATTTCACAGAGGCTTTAGCTAAGCCATTCAATGTCGGTAGTGTGAACTAATTGTTATGTGCTTATTATTGTCACTGTTAAGAAAATTGATGAAATAATTTTTAAGTATATTGTCAATATACTTGAATAAGTATGTAATGCCGTTCATAAAACTATTATTTAAGTTGAATTTAAGATGAGTTGTTAACCAAATTTTTTAATTTTATGAGCAATATTTCTTTACTTTAAAAATAGTAAAAGTCTGAAACTAACAAACTAATTTCAAGACTGCTAATTAAGATCATTGCAATTCGCTGTTCGTGTTAACTGTTCGCTGTTCCTGTTAACTAAATTCAACCCTTGCGATGCATACTTAAGTAGTTTTTTATGAGTGGGTGTAACTTTGTTTACATCTGATTAGTTTTTATGAGTGGGTGTAACTTTGTTTACATCTGATTAGTTTTTATGAGTGGGTGTAACTTTGTTTACATCTGATTAGTTTTTATGAGTGGGTGTAACTTTGTTTACATCTGATTAGTTTTTGCAATGTTGAGAAAAAGTCTAAAAATCAAAAAAAAATTTGGAAGTTTTATATAAAAAAAATCTCATTGTACTCATGTTCAATAATTTGAAAGAACATATAGTTTCAAAATTGACTGATGCAATTATCTTAAAACATTATAAGGAGAACAAAAACTATTTAATAGAAAACTAATAGAAAACAGGGAAGAAGTAGTAAATCAAGATATAATGAAAAAAAGAAGGCAAAATCAATAGTTGTCTTGATTCATTGAAATCCAACTCAGTCACAACAAGATTTAGCTACCAAATTTAAAAACAGTAGATCTTTCATCCAAAGAGTATTGAAAAATCTGAAGGCTTATTCACAAGAAAAAAAATATCAAAAAGGTCACTTGATGGAGAAATGAAGAGAATTAGACAAGCTAAAAATTTGTTTAAATAAGTGACAAAAAAAACTTGTGCATTTTAGATGACAATAGAACTTCCTGTAAAAAAGATTATTCAATGCTTCTAAGTAATTAATGCAATTATCAGTCAAAACGTTAAAAAGTGTCTGACAGATTTAAGTACATTCAAATCAAAAAATTTGCTTGCAAGTTCCTTGCATGGCAAGCTATTTACAGTTGTGGATTTAAAAATTTCATCAGATCTATAGGTAACTGAAGATTTGAAAAAGCAAATTCTTTTTCTAATCAAAAAACATAGATGACCAACTTTATTTTGGTAAAAAACAAAAAAAAAAACAAAATCCTTAAAAAATTAGGCTTTTACTAGTTTTTTTTGAAATCTTTTGTTATATATTTAAAGATTCTGTGGATTTATTACAAAAATGTTAAATTAAATAAAAGGGAACCAAATATGGTAGTGGTGTAATGGTAGAGCGCTTTCCTCATAAGCAAGAGGTTTCAAGCTCAATCCCCAACACGTCCCTGGTAGTACTTAGCTCAACTCTAAGTACGGAAGTTTCTCTATGCATTTCTTCCTGCAGCAGCCTTATCTGTCAAGGTTTATGTTTCAGATTTATAGAGTTTAGAGAGGATTGTAACCACAATTATAGTAGCCTCCTTGATTGTAGTGTCCTTCTCGGCCTTAGGGAGGCGAATTAACATTATTAAAAAAAAATGAATTTTATACTTATAAAAATTCTGATCTGTCAAAAATTATATAAAAAATATATAATCATATTTTTCTTAATTCATTATGTTTATGTAAGAATCAAAGAAACTTACCTACTAACGAATCAACAAATGATATGTATTGTTTCTCTGCTTCTTCCTAGATTCACAACAAGAATATGGCATTAAATACAAATGTCATTAAGATTTTATGAAAATTTATTTTTTACAGCACATTAATTTTTATATTGATTTGTTAAATTATAATTGTATTTAAAAAATAGTAATAACTGATAAAAGTTATGTAATAATAACAATGTGATCTAATTATAACCAATTACTAACATACCTACCAATACAGATAGCAACTACTATTTAATATAATTCAAATTCTTGAGTTTCAAAGATAAAAAAAATTTTAAAACTTTCCACTACTCATTTGATGATATTTGTGGAGCAAACCTTAAGATAAAGGGGGCACGATCGCTCCCTTCACATGAAGCACACCTGCAAATAGAATATTCAAAACTACTGCATTGTTTGTTGATGATACTACCATTTATTTTTGTCATTATAAGAAGCCAATACTCTCTGATTGCATGGAGGGGGTATTTGAGCTTGAAAGTGGCTGGTGAACTTTGATTTAGATAAAACTCAATTTTTTTCAGCCAATCGTTATCGCAATAATTTAGATCATCCTATAATTATGAATGGTAATGTACTCAATGAGCCATCTACCCTTCATCTTCTAGGATCAACTCTTACTTCCAATTTTTCTTGGAATTCCGTTGCAAAATTAGCATCTACTAAGGTTGCATCACTTTATCGAGCTTGACACTTTCTTACTCCGGATTCTATTCTCTATCTCTATAAATCTCAAATTTATCCTTATATGGAATACTGTTGCCATATCTGAGGTGGATCCAATGATGCCTATTCTCTTTTAGACAAGGTGCAAAAATGCATTGTAAACATAGTTGAACTTGCTCTTGCAGCCAACCTTTAACTATTATCACATCGTTGTAATGTTGCTTCTCTTTCTCTTTTCTACAAATACTTTAATGGACACTGCTCTAAAGAGCTAGCATTTCTTGTAACATCTGCTAAAACTCATTCTCCTGTCACTCATCATTCAATTAAGTCTCATCCTTTTTCTGTGACTATTCTCAAGTGCTCCAAAAACTCTTATTTCTCTAGATTTTGTCCACGAACATCAGTTCTTTGGAATTTGCTTCCCTCATCTTACTTTCCTCATTCATATAAATTGCAATCCTTCAAGTCGTCTATCATTTGTTATCTTGCTCTACAATCTTCATCTTTTCTCTTCCAGTAACTTCCAAATCTAATTAGTGATTGCTTGCAGCCTTGTTGGAAGCAAAGATGTTTAAAAAATAAAATTAAAAATAATTAAAGTAACAGCATAATTTTATTAAACTAATATGTCAAAACAATGAATTAAGTCACCAATTTATTCTTCAATACTAAATCAATAAAAATTCTTGTTTTTATTGATTTAGTATTAAAGAATAAATCATAAGTAACAAATAAGCACTCTCATTTTTGTTGGGCAGCATTTTTGTTTTACCATAAATAGTTAAAAAAAAAAATTGTGATAATAATATACAATATACAATAACTCCCTTTTTGGGAAAAGAAGTTGTATATTGTTGCCTATTTGCAATAATATACAACTTCTTGTATATTGTTGTGAATAGGTGCAAACAATATACAAGAAGTTGGAAGTATAAAGAGCTACTTTGTTGACGTTGTGTCATGAGTGCATATAATACTACTTCAAAATACTTGTCAATGTCAAACTTTGTATAAGAAATAGTAAACTATGAGAACAGTCTTCACCAATTTTTAAATCTCATGATCACTCTTACAGACATTATCTTGAGCACATATAATCACGCTTGATGACAACATATTACAGTTTTACCAGAGCAAAATATCAGCTAAACAATTTTCTTCATCACAAACCCTGTAGTAGCTCTACATTTTTCAATTGATTCAAAATGTAGCTCTAAAGAGTTATTTTGGAAACACTAGATAAAAACACAAATACATATTTTAATTAAAAAGTCTTCAATTAAGATAAATATTAAATTTAAAACGTTACTACTAATAGTGCTTAAGACATCATTTTAGTAAAGCAACATCTATTAGAAAAATGCATTGCAAATGCTGACACTGTTAAACCTAGTTAGCAAGTGCATAAAAATTTTGTGGCCTACAACAGCTGCATTTCCTAGTTTATAAGTATAGTAGAATATTGTATTTTTGACTTACCTAAAATTAATGACTCCATTTATGTTCAAGTGTAAAAATAATGTTAAATAGCAAAATTGTTTCACAAAATAATATTTAATGGCAGGTTGACATCCTGCATGATATACTGGATAAAATATAACTTTCTTTAAATTTTGATGCTTCTATAAGTTTTTTTTATAGAGTTTTTATGTATTTATATCTCTTATTATCATCTACTCAAAAAGAATTCTTAAGAGATACCTGGGACATTATTATGCAAACACTTTCATATTAACTTCAAGTAAGCTATAACTCATCACACTGCTCATAAAAAAAAATACATTAAACTTGAAAACTAAAAAAAAAGTGCAGTAAATTTGAGAACTAAAAAGATTTTCAAATGCATTTAAATATTTTGTAAATGACATTACCTTAGATTAATAAAAATAAAAACTAAACTGTATTAAATTAAAAAAAAAAAAATTATTTTCATCGCTCTACAATTAACAAAAATATTTTTTAATAAATATCCATTGTTCAATAAAAAAATGTAAAATGAAAATAGTAAGTTATTAAAAGAGAATTAATAAAAAAAATCTTGGTACGTTATTGAATAAACATAACTTATTATATTAAGGAAACACAGATATTCAATTTAAAAAACATTTATTTTAAAAAAGTTTAAAATAACATCAAGTATTGCTTTTGTATATTTTCTTAGCTTAGTAAAGTTTTCTTTATGATTCTTGGTTAGATAATCAGATAAATTACTTTTTTTGTTAAATAGTGAAAAAATTAAAATTTTTTTTTTTTTTTGAAATCATTTTAGAACAAAATTAATAAACAATGCAATAATTTTCTTTGCTTAAGTCTTGTGGTTGATAAAACTAATATTATCTAAATGCATTTCAAAGAAAATCTTCTTAGTCCGTAAAATGTGTAGATTTCAATTTAAAGCAGTTCTGGGCCTACCGATGATTGTTCCTTTCTGAACAGGCTGTTTAGTGCATTGTGACACTCTTTTCTATTTGTTTCCTATGCTTTACAGTTGTCTTTCTCAACAAATTTCAGTGCCTAATTTTGGGATATATTGCATTGCCATATTTCAAATTATAAATAAAATATATGAAAAGTCGCAAACATTTGTTGGTTATTTTTTAATTATTTTTCACTCTGTCATATATGTTTGAACTGTTTGTGTGAGTAAAAACCCAACATATAAATGAAAAGTTGCCAAACTCTGACTCTTACTCATTGACGAAACACTACAGTGTTTCATGAATAAGAATTTGACATCAAATATAATGATTTAAACTTAGCGAGTTTAAACCATTATATGTGATATAGAAAGCTGAGTTTAACTCATTATTAATTGACTCATTATTACTTGACTCATAATTAAAATCATTCAAATTCCTAAAGAGGTTATAATTACGGGTTATTTTTTCTAATCTTTTTTGAAAGCAATTGTAACTGCTTATCCTTTAAAGCAATGGATTTAACATTGTTTTATTCTTGAGTTCTTGATTTTAATTTTTTAGTTATTTGTTATACTGCAAGGATTTAAAAGTAACAAACATATTTACATTCTATACACGTTACAAAATCTATATATTTAGAAGTTTGAAATATTTCTTTGATATTTTATAATAGTCTAATTTAACCAATGTAGATTTAAAAGTTTATCGAGCATTTAAAAGGTAGAGATAAAATATCTGTTTGGTTTTTCTTTCTCAAAGATGAAAAAGGGCATAATGCAAAGTATAAGAAGTGCATTAAAATTATAAAAGCAGCAGGTAACTCGATAAGCAAAATCCATACACATTTAAAAACCAAGCTTGATTTATTATTAAAAAAACAAAAAGCTATTGAACTTCTTGGTGAATCTAGTTCAAAATCTAATACGCCTTCTCTAAAAATTATAAAATACTTTTAAAATACTACAAGAGGCGCTGACAATAATCTTATCTAGAATGACAGTACTTGATGAGCTTCCATTCAAAATTTTTATAACATCCCATGATCTTCGAAAATCATTAAAAGCATTAAATTTAAGTGATGAACTTCCAAAAACCACCACGATTATACAAAAAATTGTCACTAGTTATAGCAAAACTATGAGACAGTTAGTAATTAAAGAAATATCAGAATATAAATTATATGAAAAAGGTTTTAGTATTACTTTTGATGAGTGGACTTCCTTAAGGATTCGGCAATACATAAATGTAAATCTTCACTTGGAGTCAAAGTTTTGGAATTTAGGATTTCTTAAAATCAATGGAAGTACCCTAAGTAGAAAACAAATAATAAAATTATTTTTAAAATTATTATTCTTCTTTCCATATAAAAAATAAACTTAATTAAAATTAAATAAATTAATTGATCTAATGCAAAACTAATTATTGAATATTGTATTGTCATCAAGCAAGAGTATGTATGCAAAATGAAGAAAATCTAACATCAGGAAGTGACTCAAAAATTGATTGCAAGATTTGATGCTCACAGACAAACAGAGAAGAGGAGTTAATAAAAGCATTGAGAAAAAGAGTCTTCAATGTCTTTATTTGGACGATGTTTAAATGTTGCCCAAATATGTTTAACGCTGTCAAAAAAAGTCTAAAATAGCCTCTGCTTATGTATATAATGTGATTTAGGCAAAGATTTTAAGCTTTTATGTAGTACCAGCGCACAAAATAACGGCCAATTAACAATCAATGATTGCCTATTTTTAGGGAAATTTCAAAAAATTCAAGGGAAAATAACCTGTGTTTGTGAAAAAATTACATTTGATCGGCAAGCTTTGAAAAACTATTTTGAGCGCTGTAGTACAGATATACAAATAAAATTGCATAAGTTTTATTCTAACAATTGAATTTTCAAACATTATTTTCTTATTTGTTTAAAAAACTTGATACCCTGATATAATCTATGTTAAAGCTTCACATTGGGCAATAAAAATTGAGCTTTAACATTGATTATCCATGCTTAATAGTAATACATTATTATATAACAACTTAATAGTCTTAGGGTTAGACTTAAACATTTCATTTGAAGTTTAATAATCATAGAGTATCAATATTATGCTACTTACTTTTGAAAGATTACCTAGTTCATTCCATGCATTCCACTTTGCTTGTGCAACAAAATCAAACATACCAGGTTTTTTTGTAGTGCATTTTCCTTCTGTAGCCTTTAATTTAAATAGAAATAATTTCTATGAAAACATCCTACAAATTTTTACATAAAATATTAGAAAAACTCAAATTTTACATATAAAAGAAACTTCTTTCACTATTTATGGTCATATCATTCATATTAAACCTATAATTTTTAACCAGTAATGATGAAACAGAGGCATTTCTAATCATAACTTAAACTGATTGAAGTGAAGTTTATGTAACTAAAAATTTTAATTTTAATAGGTTAATTTTTTAGAATTTCATCAATTGAAAAAATTAGTAAAAATGTTTCTATTTAAATCTTTTTCAAATGAATCATACATTTTGAATTAGAATACAGCATAGAGGTTTATTTATTTATTTATTGCATGTCTTTTTTAATCAATGCTTTTTCTCATCATAATTTTTTAATCCATTGACAACTGTTAGATGCAGTGTAACCAAAACATCAACAAAAATCTAAATCAACAAGATAATGTGAGATAAAAAAATTTGTTTACAGCTGAGCTAAATTTCAAACTCTTAGATATTTTATCTTAAACTGTATATTAACATTTTTCTATCAGACCATATTATCATTATAACAAAAATTATTAAAATATTGCACTTATCAGTACAAGCTTCTTAACAAAAATGAATTGCTTCCTATACACATCTTGGATAGTTGAGATATTGGTCTTGTATGACACAGGTGTTTAGCTGTATTCTACAACTCATAAAAAAACTTTAAAAAGTACTTTTTTTTAACAATAAACAATGACATTCTACATTGTCAATTACTATAAATTGTTTTAAAAAGTTAGATGTTACTCATAACCTGTCAGCTTTAAAAAAATAAGAGCAGCATTAAAGTAAAGTTTTTGAATAACCAAAGTTTTATCAGAAATATTTTTTATGTTGTTATTTTTTATTATTTCACAAAACTTACTCTTAAAAAATGTATAAATATATGTGGAAACCGTAAGTCAAGGTTCTACAAATTTAAACTTCCTTAATTTCTTAAATTCAAAACATTGAAATTTTAAATAACAGCTACTTCAGAGAGCAGGAAAAAATTTGATTTTAGTTTACAAAAAATATATTATAACATTATTAGGAAACAAACCTGTTTAAAAAGTCCATATAGTTTTAATTTTGCATCATTTCCTGGATCTTCCTTTAATAGTGCGACTCGTTTTTTAGCCTCGTCCATGGTACTGTAATAGTTTGAAAAAGATAAAGGACTTCTTATGAGAATAACTTGACGAGTTAATACTTGATGATTTATTTTTAAGAAACGGTACATAATAAAACTTTTATCTGTGCCAGGGACAAAGCAGAATATAATACTTTTTAATTCGTGTCAAATTAACATAGGTTCAAAACAAATCTTAAATGCGGGTGTAGGTACCAAACGAGCTGAAACCAAAGCCCAAATAAGATATTAATAAAGTAGTAATATTTTTTAAAGAATTTCTAAAATTTTCTTAACTATTTAGTTCGATATCAAAAAATAAAAAAATACAGTTTCAATTTTATTTTATACTTTTAATTCGTATTTTTATTTATTCGTGTTATATTTTATTTTAATTTTTTTATTTTTAATTCGTGTCAAAGTAACACAGCCTCAAAACAAATCATCGATGCGATTTTATTAATATTTTCAAATATTTATAGATATTAAATTTAATTCAATATTAAACAATAAAAAAAGTTAAACTTTTATTTTAACATGTTATTAATTTATAGTAGTGAAAAGTATATGCAGTTTGTGCCCCCTTCCCTGAAAGGGAGGAGCAATGTTCAATACCAGTACCAGAAAGGTAAAAATAAAATAATAACAACTTCCACCAATTTTGTTGTATCTGCCTCAAGATCAAATTTTGGTGTTAAGGCAACATCTATTTGCCACAGCACTCATTGAGATTTCATAATATTTTCAATTTGAAAATTAACTGTATAATTGCAATTAGAAATTTAAGTGTATTTACTGAAATTACCAAGAGGTCTGCAAAAAAGAAGGATAGCTGAATTGTTGTTGCTTCGAAAAATAAAAAATTAAAAAAGAAACTTTTATTTCCTTCAGAAAATACCCGAATCATCAAATGAAAAAAGTTCATCAAATGAAAAAAGTTTTCCATGTGTTGAATGTGATGAATATCGTTAAGAATATCGTGTTGTATATATTATCATGTAATTGTTACAAAAATAAAGCTTTTTTATTTTTACTATAATAATAACCCCTTTAGCAGTTAGCTTTGGGTAGAATTTTTCTCTAAAATTTACGGAAATTTTTTTTTATCAAGAGTACAAATACATAGACAAAAAAATTCGAAAGAACAAAAAAAGAATCAAATAATTTCAAACATAAAAATCACAGAAATCATAGAACTATACAACTGTAAATCTTCTATATTTTACACTTTTGAATAAATCAAGAGTTTTTGCAGGTTAGTAAATGTATTTTAATAATTTTTTTTTGAATTTAAATATTACTGATGAGTTTATCAATATCAGGATTCATTTTTGAGGTTGATGGGGTTTTCCAGACGTTTGTCAGTCAATGTGGATCTGTACTTGTTTTTGATAAGATCGTTGATAAAAATGTTTTTTAGTTGAACCAAATTTTGAGGCAATTCTAAATGCAATGTCAACCAATTCTGGAAAACCAGATTTGGAAACAAATTTTTAGAACTCTTCGAGGTCAGGGGACATTGGATTTTCAAAAAGCTCTTTCAACTTTAATTTTAATCCCGTCGATCAAAAAACTTGAATTTTCAAGTTAAAATGTTTGTTGAAAAGTTTGAAAAAAGATCAAAACTTCTCTGAGTTAAGTTGTTACATAATAGTACTTTAGTATGTACTTAAAAGCATTGATCTGTTTGAAAATAGGCTATTTTCATTTTGTAGACATTTTGTTTAATTAGTTAAGATTTTGTTATGTTGACTTAAAAAGCCAAATGACTTAATAATATGAATTTTTTAGCAGTTCACACTCTAATGATAATTGAAAAATACCTTGATGTTTCTGAGACTATTATGATTTGTTTAGAGGCTAAAGCCTCTACTCTTCTTGCTACTTTGTTTCGAGAAAGGGCAATGTTTTAAGACAACAACTTGATTTTTTTGTCTCCCACGTTTTCAGCTTAAGTAGAGGCAGTTTATTATGATTTCATCATCAGAACAGCACTTTTTCTTTTTTGCAAGGAGAAGTGAAATTTGAAAAGACACTTTCATCATGTTATGCACTTCATCACTTTTCTTAATAAATATTTTTTGTTGATTTGAGATTTGAATCTTCTGTCTTGAACTAAAACTTCTTATGAGCTCAGATCCAGTTCGGTATTTTACATTGAACTCCGTGTGCATTTCAGGAAAATGTCAGTGTAAACTTTTTTTTTTTTCTGTGCAATTTTTTCAAAACAAAACTTTAATTTTTAAATTTTCAAAAATTTAATTTTTAAATTTTCAAAAATTTAATTTTTAAATTTTCAAAAATTTAATTTTTAAATTTTCAAAAATTTAATTTTTAAATTTTCAAAACAAAACTTTAATTAAAACTTTAGTTTGTATAAATAAGAATTGTTTTTCCCATTTATCTCTGAAACAAGTCTTTAACAATAATTCACTTTCACGTTTTCTTTTTAAGTTTGACCCTTTGCCACTTTTGGCCATTTTAAAATAGAAAAATATTTTGTAATTTCAAGGAACACTTTTCCCTTATTTTTTCAATCAGTTCTGTTTTGTATTAAAAAGTGTTGTTTTTTTTACTTTGCTTTATTAGTAGTTTGGTACCAGACTCCTAATGAGTATACTGATTAAAAGTTAATTTTGATCAAAAAATAATTATGATAATAAATTTAATTTGATTTAGTCACTTTGAAATTAAATAACTAGAAAATAATTATGAAAAAATGTGGTAGAAGAAATTATTTACCAGAAATCCCTAAATGGCCAAATGAAAACGTTTCAGAAGGCAAAAAAATTCCAGCGGGCAGTGTGTTGGGCACCTCTGTTTTAACCAATGTTGGCCAAGATATCCAACATTGCGACAATATTGGAAAACAAAAAAAAATTAGCAAATTTGGGCATGCCAATATTGTGCCAAGATTACTGAGTGCGGATTTTCAAAAAAATTTTTTAAGTCTAAAGTTTGCGGAAACTTTGCGCAATTCGGCTTAATTTCAAAAATACGTAGCCATATTTACAAACTTTGTGTTACTTCTAGAGCACAATAACTTACGAAGTTAAGTTTTTACTTACGAAAGAACTTTAAAAAATTATTTTCTTCTCGACATTTTTTGAAAAAATGCTCAGCAAACTTTAAACAAGAAAAGTTACACTTTTCTATTTTCTGATTTCATTTTATACAGTTATTTGCGTAAATTTTTCTTAACTTTGGCCAAATTAAGCAAAGTTACGAAGATGATGTAAGCACCCTATTTCCTTATGGCAGTGGCGGATTAAGACTTCTTTGGGCCCGGGGCTATTTTTAGTTTTGGAGGCCTTTTTATGGGCCAGAGCCTAAAAATGACTCACAAAAAAAAAAATTAACCTCCAAAATTTTTGGGGCCCCCTAAAATAGCGGGGCCCGGGGCTATAGTTCCCTAGCCGTCCCTTGATCCGGCACTGCCTTATGGTGTACACTGTTGTCTAGAAGCAATTGTGTAGAAGAGCAAAACAAATATTAAACGTATGGTAAAATATTGAATTTTTTATTAATGCTTGCTTGTAAAACTGCTCATGCTTTGAGACAGGAAAAAAGATAAAAACATATTGTTCTCTAAATTTTTATGTAGTGGCTTCTTGAGCCCATGTATATTATGCGCTCGTAATTGTAGCTGAAAAAATCAGCTGAAAAAGTGTAAAAAAAAGCTGAAAAAATGTGAAATTTAATATAATTTATATACAAAGTGAATTCCCTAGATATTTACAGTTATGTCTTAGTCATTTGCTATTAAGGTGAATTTCCACACATCCGTTTTTTCACAGGAACGGGAAAGGGAAAGAAAAAATAATCACGTGGGCATGCGTATTATAAGTTTTAATTTGTCCAAAGTAAAACTACGCATGCTCACGTGATTATTTTTCCCGTTCCCGTAGAAAAAAAGGATGAGTGGAAACTCATTTTACAACTTTACTTGTAACTTCGTGTTGCAAGTGACGTCTTATACTAACTTTAAATTATTTTATTAAACTTCTCCTTGGTCATCAAGACCATTTTACTTTACGGACGATAACGCTCAGATTATCGGCGTTTTGTTTGTGTTTTCTTTACATATAACATACGGTTCATCATCATCATCATCATCATCATCATCATCATCATCATCATCTAGATGCTTATATCTTCTTATAACAATCATACGAATCCTAATCGTTGTTAATTTCTCTCACTCTCATTTCGTATAGGTATAATTTGTTTGGAGGTATAGTAGAAGAGTTATAATTATCTTTTGGATTGATGTTGTAATAATAAACTGCCTTAAGTATATCGCACGGAACTCTTTTCGCTATTTTTTTAACACCTCGATGACATCGCAAACTTAGATCAATTGATTGACAGGCTATACATTTCTCAACCACTTGTTTCATTTCTTTCTGGGTTAATGATTTGAGGCTTATGTTTAGTTCTTTGATTACTGCATCAACATCCTAATTCTGGCTAGTTTTTAAAAGCACTAAAATCTTGGGATTGCTCAGTTATAAAATAAAAAAATAACATTTTAGTCTTGTAATTTTTAAGATATTCAGTTCAAAATATACGAGGGGTTCCCGATGCTTCATAAACATACTTGAAATATTTGATAAATTTTTTGCCACCGTAAGCTCAATTTTTGGTATTTTCAAAATTTTAATGATTACATTCAAATTCTAAAACGTTTTTAAATCGCTCGAATTGCAAGTAATATTGGAAAGTAATTTTGTTAAAACTGCATGTGCATTTATGCGAATTTTATAAATTGATGAATAATTCTTTTAATTTGTGAATTTATTTATAAAATCAGAATTAAGTTCAAATGGCCAGAAATAAGTCTTTTAGGTAGAATCTAATAAATTGATGCTTAAAAATATGTTAACTTTAATTTTATTAAAAACTTTATATTGATATTCATCGTTAAGTAACCTATTTATAAACAAAATTGTTTATATTACGCGATACAAATTTTTTTTTTTAAATAATAAATGCAAAATGGCCAGGTCAGTTTACCCTGCTCATTTTGACAAAATAATATTATTTGGGTCATTTTATATCAAAATAATTAACAATTAATAGAGTAATACAACAATTAACAATAATTAAATAATTTAATCACTATAAACAATAAATTCAACTCTCCGAACATAAAAGATCAATCGGTAGATCCTCTTCAAATAATGCGTCAAATTCCTTACTGTTTATTGATATGTCGTTATCATTTTCATATTGAACTTGTTTATCTAAGTTACGTTTCTCTAGTACATTTGTATCATTTTCATATTGAACATGCTGATCTGAATTAATTTTCTCTAGTACATTTGTATCGGGCAAAAAGTCCTCACTAAACATCATATTTAGGTATTCGTCAGTAGAAATCTCAAACTGCTCTATGACGTCATTATCGGTAAAGGGTAGGACTTCAATTGGTATTTGTATTTCTGAGGACTTAAAATTGGCACAGTTCGGATCGTGGCATTTTTGGTAAACAACTTTAGAACGAAGGTCAGCAACGTAGTAAACATGGTTACTTTTATGTTCTCGTCCTATGTTAGCACACCATCGATTGTTATCAAGATCGTAGATCATCATGTGTCTTTCCTCGTAATGTATCCATCGTCGTATCGAACCTAGAGTAAAAGCATATTTATATAAAATTCAACTCTTATATATTTTCTTCTTTTCTTCTCTCTAAATTCAAATTTTGCATGCACAAGAGCATTTTCAAAAACTGTTTTATAATCAATCAATACATATATTGATTTTTTTTTTGAGAAAACAATAAAAACTGTTTATTATAACCTTTTGCTCAATTTATTCGGTACCTTAGTGTAACTTTTTTAATAAATACAATTTTTACAAAATTATTAAAGTTTCTAAAGACTAGAAAATTTAATTTTCTCTCTTTTTTAAAACTTTACCAGAATTATAACATTTTGATTACATTACATAAAAACATTCCTTTAATCAATTGCTAAATTAGACTCACTCTATTGATTTGACAATAAATATCATCAGTAAACATATTTATACTGCTTGCAGTGTGGCTGTTAACGTAATAGCAATTAGCTCACACGATTTAGGCTATTTTCGGAAACATATACCTTTTTTTTTTTAATACTCCTAATTAAATTTCTTATTTTAAATTCTAAGTTCACTTTAAAAATTTTTCAGATAAAGTGTATTTTGTTGCAAAAAGTTTATCAAATAATTAAGAGAGAAATCAATAGTTTTTACAAGCTCTTAACAATTCTTTAAAAGAGTATGCAAATGATTAGAATACTCTCAGAAAACATCTTCATACTCGTGGTTTTTGTTTTACTCTGATAAATTAAATTTTACTCTTATTAATTTAATTTAATTTTTTTATTTTTTGTCACTCCCCAAAGCGGAGGCCACTACAGTCGAGGAGGCTACTTTAGTTTTGGTTACAATCCTCTCTCAACTCTATAACTCCGTGCTTTGGAGTTATAGAGTTGAGAGAGGATTGTAACCGAAACTAAAGTAGCCTCCTCGACTGTAGTGGCCTACTTGTCTTTGGAGAGGTGAATTAACATAAAAAAATAAAATAATGAGTCAATATTTATATAAAACTGTTAAAATAAAATTCACAATTAAATTTAATTAAAGTTTAACTTAATTGTGTAAAGATTTTTAAAAATCTAAACAGGATTTGATATCTACTAATATCTATTTAGTAATATTTAGTGAAGATTATTCTGGGGTCTTCCATAAAGTATTTATGCAGGTATGAGGAGGGGGAGGAGGAGGGGAGGGGGAGGGGAGGATTTACCCAAAAACATATGAATGTGTACAACTAGGAGGAGGGTGTGTTAGAGAAGGGGGTACATACATGAGTTTAATCAATACTATGTTTTTTTCCACTAAATAAGATAACGACTGTCTAGTTTACAATTTTGGAAGTTCTTAAACAATAATATTTGTAAGTTTTAAACAGTTAAAAATGTACTAACGATAATTTTTAATGTATACATTTTTGATGCTTTTGAAACATAGAAGAGAATTTAGGGGGCTTTTTGAGCCTCTTCAAAAATATTTTAATAAAAATTATATACTTAATATAAAAAAATTTTTTTTTTTTTCAAAGTTACAATAAAAGTATCCTATTGAAAAAGAAAAGGAGATTTCTGCAAGAGAAAAGCTTAGGCAACTAGAATCTTTAACTAAGATAAACAAAACCATTTTTGAAGAACTTGATTCTTTTGATTCAAGTGACTCAGATGGATGTTGCTTAGGTTGAACCTGATTCAAGTGAAATCCCTGACTTTATAGTTCCTTCAACGAGTTAATCTGTAAATCAAAGTAATCTGTAGAAAAACTTTAAATCTATCTAATAATCCATTTAAAAGCAAAATAATATCAACCACGAGATATAGACTAAATAACAGACAACAAATAGCATTCATGGAAGCAATACTTAAAGAAGGTGGAATTTCTCTGGAAAAACTCTTTCAATTAAAAGCACATTGAAAGCAGGTCAAGAAGGAAATCATCAGCAGAATCAATTAAGGTTAAAATTAAGGCACTAAAACATTTAACTGCATATTGGGATGGTAAACTGGTTCCAGACTTCAAAAAGAAAAATAAAGAAAGACTAACTATTCTGGTATCTGGCATGTCAGACTTGGAAGAAGGCAAGGTTTTTGGAATCCCAGTAATCATAAATACAAAAGGTAAAGAGTAAGCTAAAGCCGCATTTGACCTTGCAAATGAGGGGATCATTTCAGGTAAAGATTGCTTGTTTTTGATACCAGCTAGTAACTCTGGGTATAAAAATGGAGCTGATATTTAACTGTTCTAACTATTTAAAAAAAGTTATTTCTATTGACTTGTTTACATTTCACATATGAAAGAATACTAAGTTTAGTTTACTAAGAATTGTTTGGTACAACATCATGTTCCTAAAACACTGAGTTTATTCAATCCAGAAAATTATTTTGGTCAATTATTAATGCAGAATCTGGTTTTAAGTTAAAATACAGAAGTTTGCAAACCCAAGCAAAACAATCTATACAGTCACTGAAAAAAATACTTTCTAAGAAAATAGTAAAAACTTTCTACCATAAGCAGACTGTTAGGAACCTGCTGAATTGATGTTGATACTTCTTGGTGAAAGACCTAAATGATAAAAACAGGGGCGGCTCATTGTGCTTTGTGGATGCCATCAATTTTGTATCCTAAAAAGATGCCAGCTTTTAATTTTCAAGCAGGATATGACCAGGACATGATCACAAAACTGGAAGCGATAAGCAAACTTATTGCACTTTTTTACATTTAAAATTAGCTCTGCTCATCCATTAAGGCTAATGCAGTTTACAATGATATCAAACTATAACTTAGATAATTATTGTAAACATGATTCATAAGTTACAAATGCAGCTTTAAAATATGCAGTGTTTTCTCTATTTTCAAAAAGAATTTCTTCTTCAGAGCAGCGAATAATTGCTTAAGGATTGCTTTACATTCATTAGAGTTTGAAATGAGTTTTCCAACTTTTCTTTTGTTTACCAACAAAACAAAACTAACATCACTTATTAGGCCTAAATCCTGGTTATTAATTTACAGTCTTAAAATTAGTGCAGACTTTTCTTAGCGCCAATGAGCTGTAAAGTCTATTTACTGAACAAAACAAAAAAATTCTAATTACAAAGAAGTTGAAACATTTGTGCAGCATGTGAAGTTCATGTGAGAATCTATCAGAGTGGGCTGTAAAATTATTTCAAGATTTCAGAACTAGTGTTTTAAATGATAAAGAACAAAAACAGTTTTTAATGCGAGTTGTTGAATTTCACCACAACGAATTTCCCAACTTTTAATAGTAAACTTTAAATGAATTGAATTTATGTAATTTACAATGTAATTAATGTAATGTTGTACAAACTATATTATTACTATTATTATATAATAGTACCTTTCACTTACCATCGGACAAAACAAGTGCAACCAAATAATGCTAATTTAGTTTCTTTATATAAAAGTGCTGCATTTTTTTTATTTAGAGAAATAACTATGTAACTGTTTAGAGACAACGTTCTTCAAGTTTTATTCATCACAAAGTTCATTATTTGTACACAAAAATTAATAAATTAATCAAAAGTATTAAAAAAAGTTGATTTCCTTCTGGACAAAACAAGTGCAACTCTACAAAACGTTGACCAAGCTGTATTTCGCTATCAATATTTTGTGACGAATCTTTTGTTATGGATAACAGCCTTGCATCTTTGAGGCATAGATTCGATCAGGTGATCAATGAAACTTTGTGGAATCGCTGCCCAGGCCTTTTGGATTTGCCTTTTGTGTTTTGGATCGTTGTCTTGCTGAAAAATCCATTTTATTGGCATATTCCATTCAGCATGAGGTAACATAACATCTTTCAGGATATTTTTATACATGAAACAGCCCATTATTCCATCGATTCGATGTACTGGACCTAGACCATTAGCAGAAAAACACCCCCAGACCATTACATTGCCTCCACCATGCTTCATGGTTTTATGGCAGTAACGTAAATCGAGGGGTTTTTTCGGCCAATTGACGACGTACACAGCAAATCCCATCGCTCCCAATGATGTTGAACTTCAATTCATCACTGAACAGGACAGTTCACCATTTCTCCACATTCCAGTCAATATGAGATGTAGTAAACAGGAGTTTTTTCTTCTGGTTCTTTAGTGAAATCAGCGGTTTCTTTGCAGGGTATCGAAAACAATCCGGCTTCAACAGCACGTCGTATGACTGTTTGGTCCGATACAGGCAGCTCTAATTGCTTTTGTACCTCGACTGATGATATCCAGGGATCCTTCTTGAAGGATCTGACTATCATAGAATCCTCTCTAGAAGTGGTGGAACGGGGTCTTTGTTATCTGCTGCCAACTTCCCCATAGAACGATATTTAGAACATAGTCTTGATACGGTCCATTTTTTCACTCGATATTTATCACAAATACTTTTTTGTGACATTCCACTTACATAGTCGCCAATAATTTTCTTTCTTAGTTCCAATCCAAGACTTTCGGGAGCCATTTTTGCACTTGAAGTCATAAAAATAATAAAAATAAATAATCACATTTTTACCGTGATTTTACATTTATCTTGTGATGATACAATAAAGTTCTGTGGAACACAATGTCTTGGTTGGATGTGGACTGTAATGATGTAATGAAACACTTGTTGTATTTCACTTCTTGTATTGATGTTCTTCGATAAAACACTTTGATAAAACTCACTTCGATAAACTGTCTTGATAATACTGATTGACTTCCATATACTGACTGAATTACATGTCGGTTTACATGTCTCTTATATAATAAAATGAACCTGTGTGAACCAGTTCTGGAAGATTCTAGATGCTTCTTTTCAATGCTTCTGGAAGCTTCTGGATGCGTCTGGATGCTTCTGAATGTTTCTGGATACTTTTGGATGCTTCCAGATGCTTCTTCTGGAAACTTCTGGAAGCTTTTGCATGCTTCTGGAAACTTCTGGAAACTTCCTTCAACTATTAAAAAACTTCCGTGACGTTGACACAGACCAGACTTAAGAAAATGAAACAAACCAAAAAAGTTGCACTTGTTTTGTCCGCTGCAAAATAGCACTTGTCAACGAAATTCTG